CTCTCTCTCTCTCTCTCTCTCTCTCTCTCTCTCTCTCTCTCTCCCTTTTCGATCGCCTTCCTTTTGAACTAACAGTCATCGCCTTTTAGAGCCTCTCGTCCTCGTACCGGTGACGTCAACCGCCTGCGTCCGTGCGGACGGTCGACGCCCCCGCCAAGGGGAGAAAGCTTAGATTTCGTCATCCTCCCCCTACGCACCCACTTTTGAGAGAGAACCGTTGCGACGATTGTTGTATGGATTCGGTGTTGGTTCGGATGACCGGGAACGCGGGATCTTGCCCGTGTTTATCACGTACCTCCGATCGTCTCACTTCGTTACCGACCTTCCCCATCACAGATGACGACAACGTCTACTGCGATGCGGACGTACGGCGCGCGCTGAGGCGGACGGAGCAAGTGTGTTGGCAAGACCCCCCTCGGGCTTGTGAGATAAGGGGGAACAGGTTTGTATTGATTGATCGCTTTGATTCCCCGACTCTAATATTGCCTTATACGGGTTTAACGGTGTTGCCCTGGTCGGCCGCTCACGCCGCGTGGCGACCACAGTTTGATTGTCGCTGGTGTCGCCAGGGGGACTCGTGTTCGTGGCGACGGCTGGTCCTGGGTTACGAGGGAGCGACACGTTTCCCCGAGCTTTCCCGTAGTGCGGGGGCGCTGCCTGCGCAATTTGAATTCAGATGTCGGCGAGTCCTCCCGCCGCTTTACCCCTCCAGAAACTTTCGTGCGGGCTCTATGAGCCCGACGCCGAGGCTTGAAGGCCTCGAACCAACCACCTCTACAGCAAAAGACCCGAGGGTTCGGCCACTTCGTGAGGCCAATGACGAGGCCTGAAGGCTTCAAACCCACCACCTATCCCCAGAACCCACGACGGCCGGAGTTTTTGTCGTCTGCCGCCATGGCCTCCTCCCCTTGATGCCTATTCTCGTCCCGATGCACGACGACAATTCATTTTCACAGAAACCCTTCTGCTTTTATCGTTTCGGAGTAATCCGACCCCCGTGGGACTTCGCGACGACAGTTCGACTCCGAGAAAAAACTCCGCCCAGAAACGAGAGCCTCCCGTTCCGTCCAGGGGACTCAACCCTTACGGCCAAAAATCCTCGGCCACGCCCCTCCTAGAACTCTAATCGGCGACCCCGTACGGGAAGCTGTGAGGGGGCGTGAGGTTGGTATCAGAGCTGATTCGTTTCGGCTCCGAGGTTTTCCTAGGACGATTACCCTGTTTTAAAGTTTCTCCTTTTTCTTTTTGATCTTTTCACTAGAATTTTCGCATTTTTGAGTAGGCTGGCTCCCCGTCGACGGAGGCCCGCGAATAGCAATCAGAACCGAGCGAGAGGCCGGGCTCGAAACCCGCCTCCCGCGATGGTGGAACCCGGAATCGGGGGTGAAAACGACGGCGACAACCACGCGGGGATGGCCAATCATCCCCTTTACTTTGTACCTCCTCCCTCCGCAGTTCCCATTTTTTCTGAAGATGACACCGATCCTCGCACCTGGCTAGCTGCCTTGAAAGCCCAGGGCTGGTCGGACCAGTTGCTCCGAGAACGAATTCCCGGAAGGTTAGCCGGAACCGCTTTTGAGTGGTATGGACAAAACCCCTTCACTAATTGGGCAGCCTTCCAGAGGAAATTTCTCGATAGATTTGATCACATCGCACCAGGTCAATGCCTCTATCTAATAAAGGAATACACAGAGCAGCCTCGAGAGACCTTGGCTAGATATGCTGAACGTTTTACGTACCTAGCCGAACGCTCCGGGGTGGATGAGAAAATGGTACGGACTGATTTCGTCAAAGGACTGTCAGATTCTCGTCTGCGGAAAAAGATCCGCAAGAAATGCAACCCTATAGAACATACCCTGACGGAGCTAATTCAGTACGAAATTAAGTACGGGAAAGAAAATTACGATGTGGGCCTGGACTCAGAATCCGACGAAGATGACCCTTCAGGTGTTCGACGCAATAGCTACTCCGCTACGACACGAATGTTCAAAGATCGCTTCGGGTTGGGTCTGACAAAAAAAGGCTCGGATCGGAAAGCTTCTTCCTCTGCTTCGGCCTCCCGTCGCTCTAGTCAAACGCAAGGAGGCCGGGGCGAGGAAGAAGTATCCATGAAAGAAGTCGCGACCCAACTAGTTACGGTAGAAACCCCGTTGACAGAGTTTGTTCAAGGTCTACAACGGCAACGCATTGCCGCCGCACAACGGCAACAGGCGGCTATGGCTGCCTGAGCCCCTATGATAAGACCGGCCGTGGCCGGGGCTGTCCCACCCCTACGCTGTTATAACTGTAATCAGCCAGGCCACCTTGCGAAAGATTGTCCGAAACCCCGAACTCAGGGCGGGCCCACCGGACCTTCCCAAATCCCGCTGGCTGCTCCCACCGCTGCAGGACAGGGGAGGGTAGCCACGGTAATGGACACAGGAACGACGGAGATGGTGACCTCGGCGGCCACTGAGATAGGACCCGATGAGTATATGGCAGCAACGATGTTCGAACCCGGGACCATCGGAGTGATACGTCATGTCCAACGGATTACCGAGGAAAGTGACCTCGAGCCGTGGCGACCAGGATTCGAGGATCTTGCGGTACCTAGTCCTGAATACAAGGATGGCCATATCAACGTATTGGATGCCTTGAAGGCTCTGGATCTTCGGATCCCCGTCCCTATTCCATATCTGCTAACCATTTCCGAAGCGGCTAACGAAAAGTTGATCGAACGGTGCCTCAAAAACAGGCGCCGATTCGAGGAAAGTTGAAAGGGCAAAGAGTCGGTCCTACGGGACCCACCCACTAACGAGGAGTCACAGCCCTCGACCTTAGAGGTGCACGAAGCCAACCGGATAGGGATGATCCAGACCGTAGATTCCGCCTCGAAAAAACCCGAGGTATTCCTCCGGGCCTATCCTATAACCTGGAAAAGCGTAGAGTGTGACTGTGAGGTCTGGGGAACCCCCTCGGTCGCCATCCTAGACTCGAGATCATCGACGGTCGCCATTTCTTGGAGATTGACGAAACAATTGGGAAGGGAAGAACAAGTTCAGCCCCTCCGACCGGATGAACTGTACATATCCGATACGGAAGATAGTATCCATTGTAAAGGGCGAATAACGAACGTGCCTATACGGGTGGGGCGGGTGCATTGTTTGTGTGACGTGATTGTGCTGGATGTACAGGCGTATGATGTTCTGCTAGGCATTCCGTGGCAGGCGGCGGTCGAAGCGCAAATGCACTTTGACAGTTGTAAGGTGGTGCTCACATCGGCCCACCCCAAACCCCAAACGATACCAATGAGACTGGCGGTGCGCATGCGCACCCAGCCGGCGCCTCGCCTCACCACGAAAGCCCATCAAATCAACATGATCCGACGCCTGTCACCAAACGAAAATGAGCCCTCGACGGAAACTGACAAGACTGATGTACCCGACCGATATCCGATCCGAGTTCAGGATCGGTGGCGCCATTCTTGGCGGCGAGAACCACTAGAAATAGTTCGGAGCGAGTCCAATTGGTCGCACGCGTTCTCCTCCGTGGTGCAGGGGGAACCCCTGCTGAGGGTGTCCCGAATATTTGACCTGTCGGAACCCCCTGCGTCCTTGTATCTCAAGACGGACCCCCTACCTGAAAGATTTACGGAGCTGAGGGGGTTGTGCGATTTATCTTTTCGACCTCCACGGCCCCTACTCACGAATGAAAAAGCCGCGATACTCCTGAAAGAGGGGGTGTCGTTTCAACCCCGAACCAGGGAGTATCGGTGGGGACCAAGAGAACTGGCGTAGACCTTTTCGGTCGAGCCCTCAGCCGAACCCGAATTGGACAGTGACAGTGACATGGAAAGCGAGCCGATGAGTCCGGCGGACAGCCAACTTATTGCGACGGTCCTTTCGGAGAAAACCGACAACTCTTTGTTTGGGGCCTCGCCCGATGCCAACGCGGCGGTCCCCACGGTTACGACGACGATCTCCTTTCCTGGGGGAACCGTAGAAGTTCAGTTACCAGCCCGTGTTCCGGACGAATACAAACGCCTCCTCTTGGCGGTTATACGGGCCTATCCTGAGGCCGTCAGTATTCAGGACCACGACATAGGCTAACCCCTTTGATACAACACGCGATTGACACCGGGGATCACACCCCGATACATTGCCGACCGTACCGATATTCCCTTAAAGAAAGGCAACTGACGTTGGAAAGGGTACGGGAATTCGAGCGGTTGGGGTGGGTCGAACCATCACTGGGACCATGGTCTTTTCCCGTGGTCCTCGTGCCAAAACGAAATGGCTCGGTTCGGGTATGTATCGACTACCGGAAATTGAACGCCATCACTACCAAAGATGTGTATCCCTTGCCGCGAATCGATGATTTGTTAGATGCTATCGGGGTCGCTCGAGTCTTTCCAAGTTCGATATCCGACACGGTTTTCACCGCGTCGCAGTCCGACCGGAGGACCGACCCAAAACCGCCTTTGTCTTGTTTGAGGGCACGTGGCAATGGGTCCGGTGTCCCATGCGAATTTGTAACGCCCCTGCAACGTTTCAGCGGGCCATGAATATGGCCTTCGCTGAGTTCGTTAACAAAACCCGACTGACCCAGCCCCTGATCAATTTCTGCGTGATTGTGTACATGGATGATATTTTGGTCTTTTCAAAAACACACGAGTACCACGTGGAACACATTGAGCGGGTTTTGCATGCACTGAAAGATGCGGGGTTCAAAGTGGCCTTGGAGAAAAGCGAGTTCTGCTTGTCGGAGATCTCATTCTTGGGGTATATCGTCACGGTCGACGGACTAAAACCGGATCTGAGGAAGGTGGCAGCAGTTCAAGACGCCCCGGCGCCGGTCACACTCACCCAAGTTCGGGCTTTTTTAGGACTGGCATCCTATTACCGACGCTTCATCAAGGGGTTCGCCGGCATAGCGAAGCCCCTCACGAACCTGCCGAAGAAAGAGGAACAGCTGATCTGGACGCTGGAATGCGAAGCGGCGTTTCAGGCGTTGAAGGAGGCTCTGACATCCACTCCTGTGTTGGCGCGCCCCGACCCGACAAGACCATTCGCACTGTACACAGACTGGCAGCCTCAGGCGATATCGGCGGTGCTGACTCAGCCCGACAAGGACGGAAGGAAGCACGTCATTGAGTATGCGTCCAAGACACTGAGCCAGGCGCAGGCTAATTACGAAGCGTGCAAAGGTGAATGCCTGGCGGTGGTGTGGGGAATTCAACGTTTCCGACCGTATCTATACGGTCAGAAATTCGTGCTGGTTACGGATCATCAGCCACTGTTGTCCTTACGCAACAACACGGACTACACGGGGACGCTGGGCAGGTGGGCGGTGCGTCTGCAAGACTATGACTTCGACATCCGCCACCGTGCCACGCGGCAACATGGTAACGTCGATGGATTAACGCGCCTTATGCCGCCCAACAAGTGTCCCGCCAACGAGCGACTCATTCCGTGGAGGCCAGAAGTCGCAGCGACGAAACCGCACTACGGGGAGCTACACGCGCTGCGTAAGGACGACGCCTGAGTCCGGAATGGAGGTTTCATCGGAGATGGCCAACGCTATCTCTCTGCCCTCATCCCACTCCCTCGCTCTCTTGTCTAGCCCCAACTCGTCCTCTGAAACACACCTAAGTTCCTGTTTCTTCTGTACCTTGCCTATGATCCCGGACCAAGAAGGGTCACATCCGGGAGGGCCCAGTTTTCTTTTATGGGTACAGTGTAGTCAGTGTCATACGGTCAAATCTCACGGACAGTGCGTTAGGTACCGAAGTGAAAAGACGTGGGTCTGTCCCAAATGTAGAACGGACCAAGTCCCTACCGAGAAGCGGTATCTGGACGCTAGAACAACCGACGGATTTGCGCCAAGTGCCCGCCGGGCAGAAGCCTGGACGGACCTTCTGTTGCTACGGAGACTGTCAGGCGACTCGTTGTTAGAACTTACCAAAGCCGAACGACGGAGAGTCACGGAGCGGGCGCAGGACTATCGCTGGCAGGGGCCGACGTTACAAAAACGGAAGGTCGATGACGACGGAGAGTCTAGCTGGTTGATGGTTCCACACCCTCTTGCTAGGTTCGATTGGACACGAGCCGCTCATGAGGAGGATGCGGTCCATTTCACGGTCAAGTACACGGAAGAAGCCATCGAAAAAAATGGATGGTATTGGTTGGGAATTCGGGAAGATGTAAAATACATCGTTCAGAATTGCCCGGCCTGCGCGGCGGACAAGGCGCCGGTACAGATGCCTCGGACGATGGTGCCCACTCGTGTAGAGCGCCCCTTTCAGAGGGTTAGCATCGATACGACGGATATCAACGTTCCAAGAGGGCCCGTCGATCAGGGAGAACTCAATGTTCTTTTAGTGGCCGTCGATCATTTTTCAAAATGGATCGAGGCGTATCCTATGACCAGCCGGAATTCGCAGGAAGTAGCCCGGTACGTAAATCGATTTTTGTGCATGGATCTAGAGGTAGAAGAGGTACACATGGACAATGGGTCGGGATTTCAAGGCGAAGTAGAACGTCACCTAGTCAGGGCGGACGTTAAGATTATCTACTCGCCGGGGCATTGGCCTCAAGCCAACGGCCTGGTAGAGAATGCCAACCGACTGATTAAGACGGCCCTTAGAAGGAATATCACTGCGGGAGACACCCGACCTTGGCCGGTCATTGTCGACCACATTTTGGCCGTTTATCGGGCCACCCCACACGGTAGTACTGGGGTGTCCCCCTTTCAATTGAGAACCAATAGTGTCCCTCAGGTGCGATTGTCCCCCTTAGTAGGTACGGGAGTTAGAGCAACACGAGCCCAGAATCGAGACAAGGCCCGCCACTACATGAACTTAATAGCTAGGGCCTATCCCCCGTTAGCTCGCTGACGACAACAGGCCGTAGATCGGACACATCAACGGCAAATCCATGACTATGAGAATCGACACGCGTCGGCGGGACCACTGCCCTGCTATAAAGTTGGGGACCTGGTGCAGGTACGGAAATCTGCGCACTCCTCCAAGATCCACCCGCGCTACACAGGTATTTACGAGGTCACGGAAGTTGGCGCACAGGGACAACACTCCGTGAAGCTGATTCCCCGTCACAACTCCCAGGCCCGACCGCTGACACGGCACGCGGCCGCGCTCCGGCCTTTCCAGCCATCGCTAGGTCCCCTGCGGACCCCCGCTCCTGCGAGATCACCCTCTCCTTCTTCATCCTCATCCTCCTCCTCTTCCCGATCTGCCTCGTCCATTGGTGCTGAGAGTTTCCGGGAGCAGGATGAACCATCGCCAGCCGGAGCATGAGCCCCTCGAGCATTTCCAGACGCCGCTTGCAGATCGCCTGTTGCGGCATCGGTTCAATGAGGAGAGGCAGTTGCGGTACGACATTCAGCAAGTGAACGTGCCGGCGCCCGGGGTTGCGGATTTGGCGGCATACTCGTTGCTTTGCGATCGGCTGATGTATGCGGGGGTGTACGTGGACGTGACGCAATTGCCTGGCCGGGAGACGACCCGAGTATTCATTGAGTTCCGCGCGCTCCAGGTGGCACCCAATTTCGTGCACAGCGTCGCCACCTTCATCGGAGACTTGACGATCCTACCGCAGCCGAATCGGGAGCCGGCGCGCAGCTTTGTGCGCGAATACGCGGTCGAAGCGGCCAGATCAGTGGCCAGATTGCAAGGTCGGGGGGGACACCGATTCACAACCCACAAAGTGCTGCTGCGTAGGGCAGAGGACGGACCGATTGCATTGGTGCCGCAGCTCCCCGCGCTTGTCCCTCCCGCTGCTCCTCTCAACTTCCAAGCTATTCCCCCTATCCCGTACTAAATGCCTCCTTTCTTCTCCTACACCACCCTCCCCTACCAGCTCACGGAGGGCCCTTACCCCATGCACGAGTTCTCGGAGTATTTGGTGGAGCTAACTGACGTGGAGCCGCTGCCCTTCGCTGACGAAGACGCGTGGGAGTTGCACCGTGCGCTGTACAAGTCGGTGGCGCTGGGGATCTGGGATTGTTGGAGCTCATACATCTTGAGCTCCTCTCCATTGCGCAAGTGATCGCGAGCGAGGAGGAGAAGATCCAACCACGATTGCGGACGGCGACGGCCCCGCGGAGAACGTACAATGAGGTCATCATCCCGGATTACATTGCGCAGCGCGCGGAGAGATTGGAGGACTTCCCGGAGGAAAGGCCGTTGCGTCCTCCCTCGTCGTATCCTCGACCAGCACCACTGAAGGCCCCCAAGAAGACGACGAAGAGGAAGAGACGCCACCCGTCGCCAGGAGCGCAAGGCAGCAGGATCGACGACGGCGAGGAGGTGATTCAGCCCGCGCGTACGCGGATTCCTGACCCTGTGCCTGGGAGTGGGGCGACGCTCGTTAAGGAGACTATCGTGCCATCGCCGCCCATTCCGCGTGTGCCCGATCTCAATCTTGATGGAGCCGGGCCATCATCAGCAGCAGCAGCCGGAGGAGGAAGCCGAATGGGATTTCCGGATCCCATATCCAGACCCCCCGTCCTCGCGGGACCTCTCCGTTCCCGCCAGCCACCCCGGGGTGCCCCGGTCATTGACATCAGTAGTTCATCCGAGCCAGACGGTCCATCCGACCAAGGTGGACTTCATGATAAAGCCCGCCACCATCTGGCTCGAGGCCATCGCGGGGGCGCCGCGCCCTGATCCGGCGTGGGAGCCATATCTGACACCCCCTTTCCAAGGGTGTATTGCGGCGCGATTGGCCGGGACGCTCATCTACGAGACCGGGCAGCGTCCAAATGCGATGTACCACTTCCTGGTCTTCGCGGCGCAGAAGCGGGAGCGGCGGCCTTACACCGAGACTCATGTGGTGATGACGGGTCCAGGGCCCCGATCGGTGCGCAAGCGGGTGGTGCGAGCGGTAGCGGATCTGGAGCCACGTGTCCTCTCACATGTGCCGGGGGCTTTCCTTTACCCCTCGTTCGTCCAGCATCACTTCCATGAGGAAGATGCGCCGACGACTCCTGCGGCAATGGCCGCTTTTCTTCCACTTATTCCGCCCCCTCTCAATCCCGACATAGATCACTTCCTCTGATCACCCTCGTCTACCTCTCCCCTGTCCTCTCCTTCTCCTTCTCTTCTTTTTCTTCTTCTTTTCCGGATCTAAAGCTCGCGCGACGATACGCGCTGTATATATATATAAATAAATAAATAAATAAAAATTATTTTCACTTACCGATCAGGCCAGCTGACGATGAAGGGGCCGCCCGATCGAATGTATACCATGGGTGGAGGCGATGGAGGATGCAGGATGCATCCACGTAGATTAGGAAGATGATCAAGCCAGCTGACGATGAAGAGGCCGCCCGATCATCCATGATATGATGACATCAGCAGTCGGGAGACTGCTAATTTTTCGGAACCCCCTGCGTATCACAGATGTGATAAGCTCAGATCCGTACCGCGCGGCTTGCCGTATCCCTGGGGAAAAATCCAGCCCCGAAGTATAGACGCGGATAGAAAGGGGTTTTTCTTTCTTTTTACTTTTGTTTTCTTTTTGAAACGACTTTTTCATTTTGTTTGGTTAATAACTCCCGTGGGCGAATAGCGGCCGCGGTATGAAAACCAAGAAACGGGTGCGGTTGGGACTTTTTGAATTTTCGCGCGCGCGCCCAAGCTCCGATTTCTTCGCGCGTCTCGCATCCCCGTTTCTTGCTTTGCATCCTCGTGCCATCTTCCCTTCTTGCTACGCGCGTTTTCCCCATGCAGGACTCTTCGTCTTCCCCTACGCCCAGCTTGATCCTTACCCCGTCTTCCTCCGCGAAATGATTGGCTGCGTAGTTGGGATGCTCGGATCAATGTGGAAAGCTGGAAACCGCGCACCACTTGGACGAACACCCCAATCACGTAGCCATGCCATCCCGCGGGTCGAACCCTCTAACTCCCCACCTCTCTCTCCTGTCCTGCTCATCTACACCCTGCGCTGCCCGCACCTCGCGCTGTTAACCCGCCGCCTCCCGCGCTATAAATTTGTGCAACCCTCTCCTCTCCTCCTCTTTGATCTCGGTTGCAATGCTGCGCGAGCAATGCGCGAGAGTCGGCGCCGACCAGGCTCAACGAGCCCAAGGACGGGCGGAGTGACGACGTGGGGTGGACCCCGCGGTAGTCTCGGGGCGAAGCAGTCAGAGGGACTGAGCAGTGGTGGGATTGGACGCCGGCCGCGGCAGGGCCTTGTGGCTATGGTGGTCGGTGGTCTTGGGAAGTTTTGAAGGCTGCGCCTGGGGGCAACAGTTAATTGAATTTTTTGTGTACAAGAAGGACTCGCTTTTATCTCCATTGCTGCTTTGTCTATGCATGTCGTGTGTGTGAAGCCCCGAGTGATGGGAGCTGGTTATGCGCATGAGTGATGTCGAAGGTCCATGGATGATTAGATGTCCTGTCAAGGGTTGTTGATTGCATGCATGTATGTGTGTATGTACTCGTCCGGGCGGGGGTGGGGAAACTGAACTGGGGGACCGTCTGCTTAGGAGTATGAGTGTGTTGATCCGGTTGTTCCCCTCCCCTCCGCGGCCTTTCCTGCGCTCTCGCGCGGTCTTGGCGTAACTCTCT